TGGGTATGAAATTATATAATACACACTCTAGAACATTTTCATCTTAATATATATATATATATATATATATATATATATATATATATATATATATATATATATATATATATATATATATATATATATATATATATATATATATATATATATATATATATATATATAATCTTTTTGACAGGCAAAGAATATAATAACATGCAGAATTCAGAAAATCACAAATTTAAAAATTTGTTTCTGGAGCTAACGGATATAAATATAACTAAAAGACAAGTTGCAACCCACTTTGAGCGCGAATTTCACATACGGACCGTCATGAACAATCACTTATGCCGAAAGCAGCTTGGTTGAGCAAATTTAACGAACATAACTTGAATATATAGAGCTATTTTAACGAACGTAGTAAACAAAAAAATCTTACTTGAATATGTGCATGGGCAATAATTCTTCCTATTTAGATAATTAAATAGACATAAAGAGAAATATAGCTAATATAAGTTTATACACTGTAAATTTGTTGTAAATTTTTAATATTTTTGAATCTGTAATACCACTGTAATATTCTGTCAAAGGTGGTAAATAAAATCTACTATTACTATACTCTAGACTTACTCTGCCCATTGTATCTGCAAAAGAAACAGCTGTGGCTACCAAAACCCGATTTGTTATAATATACGGAATTGCTTCCTTTGATCTGGTATGTATTATTATTATTATTATTGTTATTATTATTATTATTATTAATATTATTATTATTATTATTATTATTATCATTATTTTATTATTATTATTATTATTATTATTATTATTATTATTATTATTATTATTGTTATTATTATTATTATTATTATTATAACCAGATAAATATCGTCAATTCGGCTTCTCCTTACAGTTTCTAAATCCCACCCACTGGTTTCAGTTTGCTGATGATGCCGCCGTCATAAGTAGTCAAGAATCCGAAAATCAACATCTTCTAAACCGGTTCTCCATTTGGTGCCAATGGTCCAACATGATTATTCGGGTTGATAAATGTAGTACCTTTGGCATCAAAAAAGCTCTAACAAAATCAATCCAATACCTGCCTAAACTACTTATTAACAAGCAACTAATTCCAAAGATCAATATCGGTGAGGCTTTTCAATACTTAGGAAGATACTTTAGTTTTAATATGTCAGACGAACACCACAAATCTGAACTAATCTCACTCGTTGAAGAACTAATGGCAGATATTGATTCCAAACCATTACATCCAAAAAATAAAATCCTCCTCTACAGTCGATATCTTCTGTCAAAATTATCCTGGCATTTTACAGTTTCTACCGTATCGAAAACGTGGGTCACCGAAAACATTGATTCCAAAGTCAACAGTTATATCCGTAAATGGCTTGATATACCTATATCTGGAACGCTAAGCACTGTTTTCCTAACCCGCAACAAGTGTGGCCTCACTATTTGTCCCCCATCTGTCAAATTTATTCAATGTCAAACTGTTCTCCGTAAAGCCCTAAAAACATCCCCAAACGAAGCAATTAACGATCTTAGGAAAGCAACTAGCAACAGCAAAAATATTCTGTATGACGTTTATATTAACTCCACTAAGCAAGTTCTTAAGGACTTTCGCTCTGGATAAGAGGATAAACTGCATACTCAATTAACCTGTCAAGGCTCTTTCTTCACTAATATAACAAAGTTCTCACTGTCCCAACTCACTAAAATTTGGTCTGCGTGCCAATCGAACCTTCCGAAAAATATATTCAACTTTACAGTTCGATACATCAATAACTCCCTTCCAACGCGCCAAAACCTTGCAAGATGGGGTTTATCACCGACTTCAGACTGTTCGCGATGTCTAGCTCCTGAAACACTTCTGCACGTAGTAGCTGGTTGCCAATCGTATCTAGAACGATTCACGTGGAGACATGACCCCGTTCTAAACTTTCTCGCAACAAGCCTGCAGACCGTAAGCGGCTCACATCTTTACGTGGATCTCCCAGGGTACAAAAGTCCATCAATCTTCACTGGTGACACCTACCGTCCAGATTTGCTTCTTTCAACCTCAACCGGAACACTCTATATTGTTGAACTTACAGTTGGCTTCGAATCAAATCTTCAAAAAAACGTTGAGCGTAAAAAGTCAAAATATAAAGAATTAATTAGGGAACAAAATGAACATTTCAACTCAGTAAAATTTGTAAATCTTTCGATTAGTTCTCTTGGTGTTTTCAGTAAAGAATGTTCTACTTTCATAGAAATGCTTAATGATTTTGGTTTTCAAAAGCAACATCAGAATTACTGTATTAGAAGAATGACGACGATTACAATCCGAACAACGTATTATCTATTTTGTTGTCGAAACAAGGAATGGATGAATCCGGAACTGTTAAGTGTTTAAACGTTGTACTGTCATTTTGTTATCTTAATAGTATAATTTTTGCATATATAATCAGTGATTTAAGTAGCCAGTTGTAAATTACCTGATATAAGTGAGATTTGCAATTGTATATATTTAACAGTTATTCTACGAACTCGAGTCGAATATGAGCTGATAGCCGATGAGGCGCGTAGCGCCGAATCGGCTATCGCTCATATTCGACGAGAGTGAGTGGAATAACTGTTTTATTATATACACAAGGTCTGAATTCACAGACTTTGCTTTTCGAATATTTTCAATATTTTTTATTTTGTTTATGTTTTTATCTTCGCTCTTTCGGCCGATTATTTTTTCAAAAATATATATTTTTAACCATTTTAAATTTTAAAAATTTATTTGCTAACCTGAAAACAATTTGTGGGAGTTTTTTCATTGTGTTTTTAATCCTGTGAAGGCTATAAAAAGCGACCAACTTGCCCTTTTCTCGTTTGCAAAACATCGTAAATTCAGTTTGGCCGCCATTTTGTTTTTCTCTACTAGCAGGATATGAGCTAATATCCTGCTAGTAGAGAACCAGTCAGATTGCAGAATACCTCATATCCAGACCTTGTGTATATAATAAAAGCTAAATATCCATTTAATAAAGTTTTCATTATTATTATTATTATTATTATTATTATTATTATTATTATTATTATTATTATTATTATTATTATTATTATTATTAATATTATTATTATCATTATTATTATTATTATTATTATTATTATTATTATTATTATTATTATTATTATTATTATTATTATTATTATTATTATTATTATTATTATTATTATTATTATGATTCGGTGCTTAACTTCATAGCATCCATACTTAAATCTGTGAACCATTGTAACCTTTATGCTGACCTTCCTGGCTATATCAGTCCATCTGTTATCACCGGAGATGAATTGCGCCCTGATCTTTTGATAACACTTGAAAACAAATGTATTTATATATTTGAACTTACCGTCGGATTTGAATCTAATCTCCTCACTAATGCAACTCGAAAAAGACAAAAATATCAAGATCTAATTAACGAACAGCTCAAAAATTATGAAAAAGTAAAATTTGTAAATTTATCGATTAGCTCATTAGGAGTTTTCAGCCACCCGTCGCTAGATTTCACCGAAATGCTGAAGGATCTAAAGTTTGATGAACAATGTAGAAAGTACTATGTGGCGGAAAATTATTAATATATGTATCAGGTCCTCGTATTATATATTCTGTAAGCGTAACAAAGAATGGGATAACCCACAACTAATGTCATACTAATATTGTTATTATGTAGAGTGTTAATTCAAGTAGACACTGGTAAACTACCTGTAAAGAGAGGTTTATCGTTGTAGTGTGTATATATATTATTGAAAGTAATAAAGTTTCCATTATTATTATTACTATTATTATTATTATTATTATTATTATTATTATTATTATTATTATTATTATTATTATTATTATTATTATTATTATTATTATTATTATTATTATTATTATTATTATTATTATTATTATTATTATTATTATTATTATTATTATTATTAGACATCGAGCTGAGCAGGACGTGCTTTGCACATGTCTGAAGTTTAATCGAAATATTCTTACTTGATCTACAATCTAAGACTTTTGGATTCATTCATATTAATTATGATCCGTTCAAGCTTTATTTGTTTACTTTTCTCCTGTGTTATATGTTCATTTTGTGAAAAGGATTTTGTGTCCCTTGGTTGACATCAATGGCGTTGCAATAACAAGATTAATGATCGTAATTCAAATGTTTATTCTAACCATTCTGCATCAGATGGAATAAATGCGAAGCCCGTCATCACTCCACCAACTACAGCCGCGGTTAAAAAGTCGGGAACAAAGTGTTGTTGCGGAAAGGTTTGTAAAGGAGCTCGAGGTTTAAAAATGCATCAACGTAGTTGTCGGGTCAGAAAGAAAGAACAAAAGCAACAACAACTGTGCTGGAGTCCTAAATGATATTGACACCACCTCAGTCTACAATACTAATCAGGAGGAAGAATATCCTGAGTTAAAAAAGGGTATAAATCTTCCAAAATCCAATTCAGAATGGTTAACGGCTAACGAACATTTCAAATTTTCACTAATGTCTATAATCCACCAATCACATGTGACTATTTAAATACATCAATTAAACTACTAAATGACACCATTTACACCTACTTTGCTGGAAACTTCGGGTTTGTGGAACGTCTGCCGGATAAATTACTCAATGATAAATACAAGAATCACAGCATAAAGGACTTGAAGAAAGCATTGAAACTACTTAAATTGTCCAACTCTGATCTTGCCGAAATTATAAAGACAATGACAATGTTTTTAAATATCGTTCTCTGCTATATTAAAAGACAATGAAAATGTCGAATAACGTAGTGGGCTACTGGGATAATATTCAGGGGACTTATATTTGGGGGGCTTATATTCGGATCGGCTTATGTTCGGCGGGGGCTTATATTTGGAATGAATGAGGCGTTAGTATATATAGTGTGCTTATATTCCGGGGGGCTTATTTTTTTTTTGGGGGGGGGGGCTTATAGACGGAGGCTTACGGTATACCAACAGAGATAATTTACCTATCATTGGGCTATCAATGGGCTATCAATGGGAGAGCACTGAGTATTAATATTTAAGAGGAAAAATATTGATTTTGATATAATGTTCACATTATAAAATCCCCAAACATAATTCTATTTCTCAACCATGTCAAAAGATACACTAAACCTAATTACTTAAGCTCTTATTGCAACAGATTCCCATTTTAAAGTAGAATAATTGCCACATGTAGTGTTAAGGGGAGATGGCACATCTCTTATCCATCCTGGACAAATGAACCATTATTTGACACAGCTAACACTATAATGGGGGTAATTGTTCTTTCTTAAAATGGCAATGTATCGATATGATTTTTCAATGGCAAAATGCAATTAAACTGTATGGGCCAGTCTGTACCACTGACTAATTATATAGTTAAGCTAGGTGACACTTGCTCGATGGCGTCCCTGTTAGATACTGTACTCCTTTTGAAAAATATTAATTGCTACATGTAGTGTTAAGGTGAGATGGCACATCTCTTATCCGTCCTGGACAAATGACCCATTTGACACAGGTAACACTATAGTGAAGTAGTTTTTCATTCTTGAAATGGCGATGTATTGACATGGTTTTTCAATGGCAAAATGGAATTGCTCTGTAACAGTGATTAATTATATAGTTAAAAGACAATTGCTCAATGGCTACCCTCTGTCATATACTGTGAATACTCCTTTTGAGGTAGATTACAATTGCTACATGTAGTGTTAAGGTGAGATGGCACATCTCTTATCCTACCATTGCATGTGATCAATGCTTATTTGTCTCAACAAAGAGATTGTTGGCGCTCTAGCTAGCTATCTCATTAACAATTAGATAACGAGTAGCGTAAAGCCAATCAGAATACAGCATTTGCATTAGAAGTTGACAACATTTAAAATTACTAAATATATGTACTGTATAGACTAATGTGTAAATGAATACTTTTAGGATGACGACCCCATTGTCCATTGATGAAGAAGTGAGGAAATCAACCTATCCTTGAATCTTGGCATCAGGTGACATTGCATCCTTCGACCCATTGTACATTGCTGCCATGGGGCAAATTTACTTGCATTTTGCTGGTAAAAATATTTCACATACTTATTTTCACATTCCATGTTCTAAATATGGAATACACTCCAGGTGTTTCGAGTGCTTATGCATTTCTAGAATATAGAAGCTGTCGACAATCTTAAACCGCCCTTCAGGTGCCAAGAACAACATTTCTGTACAACAACTTTTAAGTGAGCTTGGACTACGAAATTAATAATTGAGATAAATACTTAGTTCATACAAATTCATGCCTGTTAAAGGTATTTCTTGTCAGCGAGTAATTTATAATAATAACCAATTTTGAACCTATATTTCTCTTTTGTGTGTGTCTTAATGTGCCTGGTTGAAAGTGTTAAATCAACACCTTAAATCTGGTGTTATTTTAGCACCAAATAGGAAGAGGTGTTGCTTTGGCACTGCCAAATCAGGTGTTATTTTAATGCCACACTATAGGTGTTAAATCAACTCTTAACACTGGTGTCAACTTAGCACTTAAAAGTGGTGTTGTTTAACACTATAAGCAGGTGTTAAATTAACCCCAAAAACTAGTGCTAATTTAACACTAAAAATGGGTGTTGTTTTAACACCATATCTAGTGTTATTTTAACACTTTATTAGTGGTGTTAAAATAGCACCAAAAAGTAGTGTCATTTTTTACCTATTTTTTAACACCACTTTTTGGTGTTATTTTAACACCCTAAAATTAACAGTGTGTCTAAGCTCAAATCTAACAAAACTAATGATAACATGCATAACTAGAGGGCACTCAGAGACTGCATACCTCCGCCTACGCGCAAAATATTGAAGTAATCTATTGTTATTAGAATTTGAATGGCTGGTGCATATATTATGCACGTCCTAATTCCGCATTCAGTATAAAGTTTTATTTATTTGACCGGTAAAAGCAAGACAAACTTTTGTTATTTCTCATTCAATTTTTAACCAAATTCAACCAAATTTTAATCAGTTCTTCCTTAGCCGATGGGAAATGTAGTCACCAAATTTCGTACGGATATGTTTGGTATTTCTCAAGTTATCGTGCTCACAGGAAAACACACACACACATACACACACACACACACACACACACACATATACACACACACACACACACACACACACATACACATACACACACACACATACAAACCCAGATGATTACATAACCTCCTGGCGGAGGTAATGAGTCGTTTTCGACTCTCCCTGCCTTCAATATGGACGACTGTTTAAAGTACTTTAAGACAGTCTTGACTAAGGTCAACCCAAACAAATTATTTCAAATTCCAAGTTGGATTCCAATGTTACACGATCCCATTATTGAATTTGACCTTGAACCTCCAACTTACCGACAAATAACAAATATTATTCGTAAAATGAAAACACCTGGCTCACCTTGTCCTCTAGATCAAATCTCCATTATAAGTTTTAAGCGTTGCCCATACCTCCGAACATATTTAACCGAACTAAATCAAGCAGTCTGGCTTTCTGGATCTGTACCTGACGAATGGAAGAAAGCTTGTACTATATTAATCCACAAAGAAAAATTATGCTAATCTCCCCGAGAACTTCCGTCCAATAACTCTTCAATCCGTACAACTGAAAGTATTCACTTCAAGTCTCCGTAATGCAATGTTCGTTTATCTACTCGCCAATAACTTTATCGAGCACGAAATTCAAAAGGGCTTCACCCCTCAAATATCGGGAACATTTGAACATACAGCACAAATGGCTTATTTAATCAATCAAGCACGAATAAGACAGCGATCTCTCGTTATAACCCTTCTTGATCTCAAGAATGCGTTTGGTAAAGTACATCACAATTTAATCCAATCTGTTCTTGGCTATCATCACATACCTCATCATATTCAACTCATGATTAAAAGCCCTTACACAAACTTTAAAATATCAATCATCACATCTGATTTTAACACCCCATTTGTAGAAGTAGGTCGTGGAATTTTGTAGGGAGATTGCCTCAGTCCATTACTATTTAACCTATATTTTAATACTTTTATCCAGCACATAAAATCGGAGAAATATCAACAGTTTGGTTTTTCTTATAAACATCTGAACCCAATTCATTGGTTCATTGGTTCCAGTTCGCTGACGACGCAGCCGTAATAACCGGCCAAGAATTTGAAAATCAACACCTACTAAACCGTTTTGCAATTTGGTGTCAATGGTCAGACATGATTATTCGAGTAGATAAATGTAGCACCTTTGGCATAAAAAATGCTCTCACCAAATCAGTCCAGTACCTCCCTAAATTAACCATTAACAAGTCTATTATTCCGGCTATTGAAAGTAGAAAATCATTCTGCTATTTAGGAAGTTACTTTAATTACGAAATGACAAATAATGAACATAGATCGGAATTAGTATCACTATTGACAGACCTAATGAAAGAAATAGATCTGAAGCCATTACATGGGAAAAACAAGATTCTCCTCTACAGTCGCTACGTTCTTTCAAAACTCTCATGGCATTTCACTATAGCGTCAATTCAAAAAACGTGGATTTCCGAAAACCTGGACTCAGTTTTCAAACAATACATTCGTAAATGGCTTGAGGTACCTATTTCTGGATCACTTCGTAACATTTACCTAACCAGTAACAAATTTGGTCTGAACATTATCCCCCCATCAACTAAATTCATAAAATTTCAAACAACTATCCGCAGTGCTTTGAAGTCATCTCCTAATGAATCAATAACCCACCTCTGGAAGTCGACCTGTAATCATACTAACACCCAATATGATCAGTATACGTCGACAAAAGAAGTAATCAAGTCATTCCGAGAAATTCATGTAGATAAATTGAAAAATCGGTTAAAATGTCAAGGTTCATTCTTCTCCAGCATCTCAAAATTTTCACTACCCCAAGTAAATTCGATTTGGCCAACCTGTCAATCCAAACTACCAAAAAACATTTTCAACTTCACTATTCGCTACATAAACCATTCGCTACCAACCCGTAAAAACCTTCAAAAATGGGACTCTCTTCGTCCTCTGAGTGCTCGTTTTGCCTTAAACCTGAATATCTGTTACACGTTGTTGCTGGCTGTAGTTCTTATCTTGATCGATTTACTTGGAGACACGACTCAATCCAAAATTTCATTGCTAATAACCTCCCATCAGAACATATTCAGACCATTTATGCTGACTTACCATTATTCCCTAATCCCTCTGTTATTACTGGCGATGACATTCGTCCTGATCTACTAATTTTGACCAAAGACAATTGTCTATATGTTCGAGTACTCGAACTAACCGCTGGATATGAGACTAGCGTTAACTTAAGGAATAATATGCAGCGCAAATACTCAAAATATAAAGAGATGATCGTAGAACAAAAGAAAAAATTCCGGCCGGTAAAGTTCATTAACCTCTCAATCAGTACACTCGGTGTTTTTGAAAAAGAATCGTCAGATTTTATACAAATGTTGGAACATTTGAACTCAGATAAGGCCTGTGTTAAATATGCCATTAGGAAAATCATTAACATTGCAATAAGAACGACATATTACGTTTTCTGTTGTAAAAACAAGGATTGGTCGAATACAGATTTAATGAACTTCTAGTTAGTCTGTTACTTTTTGTATCATATAATTATGACAATGTGTTAGGTAAATGTAATAATGTATAGTGTATCAAGTAGCCAATTGTAAATTACCTTTAACAGGGAGATTTTCAATTGTAAGTGCATAAAAAATTCAATAAAGTTATTATTATTATTATTATTATTATTATTATTATTATTATTATTATTATTGCTATTATTATTATTATTATTATTATTATTATTATTATTATTATTATTATTATTATTATTATTATTATTATTATTATTATTATTGCTATTATTATTATTATTATTATTATTATTATTATTATTATAATAATAATAATAATAATACACAACACGATACGACACGATTCTGTTTTATATTTCCTCGCATCCACTCTTACTGCTGTGAAAAATTCCACACCTTACGCGGACATTCCTGGTTTTATGAATCCATCTGTTATCACGGGAGATCATTTACGACCTGACCTTCTGCTGGTGACTGAAAACAGATGTCTATACATCCTCGAGCTTACAGTCGGTTATGAATCCAATCTGCTAGTTAACGCCAATCGTAAGCGTCAAAAGTACAGTGATCTAATCAATGAGCAGGAAGCAGATTATGATAAAGTCAAGTTCGTCAATTTATCCTTGAGTACCCTCGGAGGTTTTGGCCGATCTTGTGAAAATTTCGATGGCATGCTAAGTAGCCTTAAATGTGATGCCAAGTATAGTAAATACATAAAAAAGCAAATCGTGAACATATGCATACGAACATCATATTATGTATTTTGTAAACGAAACAAGGTGTGGGATAACCCAAAATTAATGTTAATATAATCCTTCTTAAAATAATTATTGTACAATAAATATATAGTATCAATTCAAGTAGACATTGATAAACTACCTGTAAAGCGAGGTTTATCAATGTAGTTGTATATATCCTAATAATCAATAAATAAAGTTTCCATTATTATTATTATTATTATATTTATTATTATTATTATTATTAATATTATTATTAAGAAAATATTTGTGAGGGATTCGGCAACTACTTCAATACTATCTTTCAAAAGTTTTGGTGTTATACGATCATGTCCAGTAGCTTTGGAAGTTTTGATTCTTGAAATTTTACATTTTACCTCCACTACAGAAATGTTTTGAATTTCAAATGTAGTTTCAGTAGGGTTGATATACGCTTCAACACTATTATGCCCATTTGAGAGACTATCAGCCAAAACGATTCCAATATCATTGAAATATTTATTCATACCTTCTGCTATTTCATCTGGATTTGTTGTAACTTTCTGATCAATTATCAATTCATTAATTTTAGTTGTTTTCGATTTCTTGTTTGTTAATTGATTGATAGTTTTTCACATAGATTTTGGATCTTTATTGCATTTGTTTATCGCATTATTCTAATAATTCGCTTTTGTATCTTTTACTAACTTGCTCAAATTATTTCTAGCATTTTTGTATGCATTATGAAAGTGGGTTGAACCTGTTTTGATTGCTTTTTTCTTAAGAAAATCCCTATGATACATTTTTGTTTTGATTTCCGAAGTTAACCATGGCACATGTTCGCATCGAACTCTCCTGATGACCGGTGGTGCATGCATATGCGCTACTAACAAAAAATTTTCCTTCCAGTTATCCCAAAGGATATTCGGATCGGATTCATGCGGCTGTGAATGAAGGATATTGTACAAATCTAGATTGAAAGCTTCTATGTTATAACGCTTAAACTGTCGCGTATTTATAATCTTTGGTTGGTTAGGTGGTATAGATATTTCCTGTGTATATAGATTAAGCTATGATTGCTGATACCGATGTGATGTACACCGGACTTAATTATTATCTCTGGACGATTACTAAAAACCAAATCGATTTGTGTTCGAGATCTTTCGATGACTCGAGTCGGCTCATCAATCATTTCGTCAAGTTGATACATTCTAGTCAAATGTAATAACCTTCGAGTCTCGATTTTATCAGGTTGGAGCCAATCACAATTGAAATCGCCGATGCATATAATTTCCTTATTTTCACTATCCATTCTTTGTATACATTGTTCGTATTAATTAAATGCTTCTATAGGGATATCTGGAGGCTTGTACCACGTGTTAAGGAAAAATGGTTTAGCTCTAGGTTTTTTTTATTTCCACCGTGATTGTCTCCAATCCTTCTAGCATTATGTCTTCTCTAATTTTATAGCTTATTGAATTTCTTATATACATAGCTACTCCACCTCCTGTACGTTTTCTATCTTTACCCACTAGGTCATATCCATCTAAACTAACTTCATAAGTATTTTTTTTATCATCTAACCAGGTTTCATTAATGCATATAATGTCGTATTGCTGATTAGAAAGGTAGATTTTCAATTGATCTATATTTTTTATTAAGCTTCTAATATTAAGATGACCTATTTTGAAACCATTATCCCCATTTTTCGATTTTTTTATCAACTTTACTAGTACGTAATATTGCCTTCCTCCAGAGGCAACTAATTTGTTTTGTCGTTTATGTCATCACCGGTTTACCATACGAGTATGGTGTGTGCTCCGAGACAGATTCGTAGCATCAATTCTACTTAGAATTAAAGTAGCTAAGATAGTTTTTTTCCATTATGCCTGTACCAAATTTGTTTAAGTGTAGGCCGTAAGCGTTTAGTGTTTGTCCTGAATGTTTTTATGTTTAATATAATTTAAATTACGTCGTTGGCATGCTTTAGCTAGCATTTCGTTTACCTTATCGACTTTCTGTGAGAATTCAGCTTTGTCGGTTCGGTGTATCAGCTCAGATATAACTACAATCGTTGTTGGACTTTCTTTCTTTATAATCTCCTCAATTTCTAGGATACTATTCACAATCTCATTAGTCTGTTTATCTCTTATATCATTTGTACCGACATGTAGTATGATTTGATCTGGCTTTCTCGCTACGCATGTTCTTATGTGATTGCTCATCGCTTCCGTGTTCGAACCTCTATACGTTTCCACATATATGTTGTGATTGCCTGCAGCTATCGACCGCTTTAATCGTTTGGGATCAAGGTGTTTCACCATGGAGTCGCCAACTATAACGGTAGTTATTTTCTCGTTGGTATCTCCTTTCTTTACGTTTGCTCTCTCTGGTTCGGGGTTTTATCTTGCCTGTTTCTGGTTGCATTATCTTCGTTTTGGCCCGCGTGATATTCGTTTTGGCAGGCGTGATGTCCATTCTCGTCGATTATAGCGTTTTCTTCAATACGAAGAGCAGAATACCTGTTACGTAATGGAATGTTTGTATTCGGTATTTCATTTCTCTGCTTTGTGCAATCTGCCACCTCGCGTGGACAGCTTTGTTCAATATTATCATTAGGATAATTCGCTGAGTTGCATTTATTAGGTTTTGTGGTTTTCTATCACCATTTATCACTATTTATTTTTTAGTATCACTATTTATATAGTATCACTATTTATATCACTATTTATATAGTATTTTTAGTATCACAAACACTTTAAATTTCAAAGCGAATTGTGTGGTCGTGACCGCGAAATACATGACGTTTGCTAAATACGGTCAGTTGAAATTATTTTCAAGTCCATATGCGATGTTACCAAGTGTTTCTAATATAGACATCTCCAAATCTAAACGGCCAACTGACGAACTCATTGTTGCTGCTTACTAAATAGTGAGAAGGTCAAATGCGAAACGATTTTTCGTGCTTATAGTAATGCATGTAGCATCACTTTTGAAGCTGGAGTCTATTTTATATCATTAAGTCTAAGAGCGCTTTTCGAGTGACTTTCTCCATATCTGCGATTCAAGCTTTATTATAGCTGAACGCTAACGTTCACAATCAGTGTCATAGTGTCAATTCAGTTGATCAATTGTAGAATTGATGTTTGAAAATTTATGTAATAACTAATAAAATGACTTTAGAAATACACGTGTTGTCTGTTGAGTTGTGAAATTTATGAGCCAAAGTTATTCATGCGCATCGTCTGCGCATGGGTAGTTCTACAATAGTCAGATATTTCGCAAGTAAGGAATTTCGCGTAACACCGGTTTTCCACTAGCGAATTTTTTCGCGCGAAGCGACCTTTTCCTTTGTTGGCATCCATTTTGTCACGTCTTGCTGACGTAATACGTGATATACCGACAAAGGAAAAAGGTCGCTCCGTGTGAAAAAAATTCGCAAGTGGAAAACCGGCTTTAGGGTAGGCCCGTACTTGAAAAATATTTGCCCTCAGTCTCAGAAGCGTCCCTCGACCTTTGATCGGTCCGCTTCTCAGACCTCGGGAAAATATTTTTCAGTACGGACCTCCCAGCCGATAAATAACATACATATATATTTCGTGGAATGGCATTGTAAAATGAATTGATTAGTTTACTTTATTAGTATTCACTGGCCATGGGGGCAATCTCACGCTTCATTAGCGTGCCATTAAAACCTGAATTAGTATTGTTAACTTTCATAAACATCCATGCTTCTGACAACTAGCAATTTTTAATTTTCATAACATCCCTCTAACACGACTTTCTGATCTTTAATGTGGTTTACAAGTGTGCACATGTGACCTAAATATCGCATCGTGATTTGTTTGTGGCCTGAATTATTCATTATTCATGAATTTTACAATTAAACTTAAAAAATTCAAGGTAGTTTAATAGAATTGAGAGTTCATGCAGTTTCTCTATTTAACTGAACAGCAAACAAATATTTAATAAGTCAGTTCCGTGCACGGCTTGAATGCCAAGCTTTCTCAAGGTCTCAACTTGCTGGACGCGGATATACTCTAACGGGCTAACAACAGCAACAACGAAATTCTCAGTCGTACCACGAAGAAGGTGATGTAGCTCAGAAACGCCGGTAGGACCTGATAAATAAGACTTTTGCCGAAGCCAGTTGGCAGAACAGCAAATTCTTGTCTGTGAACAAGAAGCTTTCGAATACATGACTAGTTTTGCTGTTCTTTCAGCGTCGTGTGTCCAAACTTCGTCAAAGATTTTGATAAAGCCCTTTCAAAATACTGTTTGTTTGATTTATTTTCTGCTATAAAGCATAAAAGAAAAGAAATTCGATAATGGAATTTGATAAATGCGTTTGACCTTAATTGTCGCCTTGACCGAGCTATTTTTAAAACTATTGTTTATGTGAAATTGCAACCAATCAAAATCTTTAATGCTGCTGATCAAGCAATCAGATTTTCCGTCCACCAGATTAACGGAAATCCCACAGTTTAGACAGGTATTGTGTCAGGCCCTATTTAAAATTGGGGCCAGAACTTCAGGTTATTTCGGAATGAAATCTAGACAAGGTCACGCATTCGTAAATATTGCTAAATTGAAATACTTGAAATGATATTTTCAGCTTTGATAGCAAATTTAATAATGGTTATGTATGCTACATAGTTATTTTTTTCTTATTTGCCTTTTTGGACACATTTCTAAAACTACAAATATAAATTTCTCTGCCTAATATGTACACGTTTCTTCCCTGCATATTGGCGAATCAAAGCATCGCCTTCTACCAAAATCTGTTCGCTAAATACGTTGTTTTCATGCATTGTTTTATAGTGTAGATGGACACGTTGTTTATAAAAATCATAGCCATATAAAGCCTCTGCCCAGGAGAGAGGATTTATACATAAACTACGAGTGTGTGACGTGAGCGCCTCTCCTGTAAATACAGTCAATAATCTTAGAACATGGTTCTATATGCACATGTCTAAGGACATCCATGTTGCCAAAGCCTGCAGCAAGGCTTC